ATCAAACTCTTCGTAACTTAAGATGCATCGCAGCGATGCGACGCGTCGTATCTCTACGATGCGTCGCAGCTGCGACGCGTCCTGCGATCCATTTCACAAAACACGTCGTAAGTGCAACGCGTCGTAGGTGTATTTATAGCACAACTCGGTGACTGTTTTATGTACACGTATTTAGTCAGCGTACAGTAAATAGTCGTCTGATATTCAGCAAAGAGTCGTCGGATCTCAGCTCGAAATCTGTTAAAACGTAAAACAAAATGGCGGCCGTGCGATGCAATTTTGAAGAAAAACAAGGTCTCATTGGACTGTATAGCTACTTTGAAATTTCAACTCATATTACGGTCTAATTCATAATTATTCAATGAATTTTCTATTTACAACTTTACACACATTGCCTCGGTATTATATTCTCGTTAATGTCATGTTTATGGCATAAAACTGCCTTAGAAATGACTCTTCTTATTTTGCGACGACCACTAGACACGTCGTAACTTGCGACGTGTTTTAAGCCGTTGTCAAGGAACTTACGACGCCTTTAACACATCGCAACTTTCGTGAAATGGAATTTCCCGCATCGCGAGTTGCGACGTGTTACACATCGTAACTCGAGTTGTGACGCGTCGCAGCGCTTCGTGAAATCGGGTGCAGGGCATACCACTGTACTGGTAGCTTAGTGTGAAGTGCCTACATGTAATGTAATTGAGCTTTTGTTGCAAACAAACATTTTAATTTCAATGTAAGGACGTACAGGTGTCTTCCTTATTCCATTAAACAATATTTACACTTGATAAAATACTGTAATTAGATTCAATTTCAAAATTATGCTGTCTCAAAGACCATTTTGCACCATAAACAGGATAAAATATCCTTAAAAGTATTTTTAATGCTTGAGGTTCTTTGGTTTTAGATGATCAGTTATCAACAAAATCAACATTATCCAGCAAAAGTCAGTTTGGGCATAGTTTGGGTGACTTGAGATAATAAACTTGGTTACTCACGTTACATTTTTGGTTACTCACATTACAAAAGTTACTCATGTTACCAAATTTAGTTGCCTTTTATTCTTAAATGCGTGTATTAGCGTCAACAAAACACTTATATTTATATCTATGTTCATGCACAGAATAATACATGTAATCCTAAATACCAAACTTTAATTCATTAGAAATGTTGGTGAGAAAAAACTTTTATATCTTTTTGGTTACTCACGCTACATTGACCCAAAAAAAAAGGCATAAAATGCTGCTTTTTGACATCTAAAAATGGATGACGGCTGTGAATTTACATATGTTTCAGAGATTAAGACTATCATACATGCTAGAAATAAGGTTATGATTGAAATATCTCTAATTGCATTAATAGCAATCAATTTTTAAACTTTACCAAATTTTTTGAGTTCTTTGTGGTAAAAAAATATTTTTCACTTTACGACATGATTTCTCAAAAAATGTGTGATAAAATTGGGTTTTCTTTGTTAATTTCTCATCCTTAAATGTATAATCTGTAATAAAAATGTGAAACTGGGTTTAAAATAAAAGTTTTTTTCTTTTTTCTTGTACAGGATCTTGCATATAGGACCCCAGTGCTTTGCATTTGCACATGTTTCCCTTGCATGAGGCAGCCTCAGTGCACGAGAATGGCACACGCCAATGACCCAACATTGAGAGTGTGGTCCATAGTGGTTACCATGTACTGGTACCATCTTTGTGCCAGCCCCACTCACTGAAGTCAGGAATTTCCTGCTGGACCGAGGTGGCCTAGTGGTTGCTTTACTTGTTGAAACAGCACAGCCAGTAGCTCGGATGCTTCCAGCAAGCTGCTTCCAGTAGTGAAGAGGCGATGTCTGGCCCCTTTGACACCTGCAGCTGCACCACACCCCTTGCTCTGCATGAGTATGGCGAAGCAAGTCGTGTCACACCCTGTTTAGGCTGTGGGACAGGGGTAGTGCCAAGGACTTTGTCGGACCGAGATTGGAGTAGATAATATGGACTAGTATGTCACTGTACTTTTTACCACTACCGAAACCCACCAAGTGCTCCAACAGGCTGAGGACCTTTAAACAAGCTTGAAATGATCTCGGAAGCTGCAGACAACAACTTTTTTTTGCATTTTGTGTGGACTGTGTACGTGCAGGCATTTGGCTGTTGTACCTTTGTCTATGAATGAGAGCTGCTATATAAAGCAGTGGTACACGGCTATTGCGGTACCACAGATTAATTATCGCCTTGAATTGAATGGTGGTTACCGCTATCAGCCAGCATTAAGGGCTACAATGTTTAATACCCATGCAACACCGAATGTTACTAACCAATAAACAGAGAAACACAGCGATTGAGCTTCTGTCCGCAGCTAAAAATGGATTGGCAAAACCACAACATCGCTGTCCACTGCGCGAACATACGCCATTGTAGGACCTTGCTCTACCGCAAATGCCAGATGCAGGAAGATCCTGTTGTCCGCCTCGGAATGGTTTCACGGCTGAGGTGTTGTGATGTCACAATGCTTGTTGGAGAGCACGGTCTCTAAGCAGGCACTCGATAAAGAGTTGCTTTCCGACCATGTCTTGGAGATCTGTGCTGCTGAATGAGAATAGCTCTTTTGTTTTCTTAGGAGGCCGCTGTTCCATTCATGCTTAGGGATTGGAGCTCTGCCATAGCCAACTCATTTTCTGTGGGCCATTCCCAGATTGTTGCTGCGTGCTAGTTTTGGGGTTATTTTTCTCAGGGTAATTATCCAAAAAAGTTGGGTACTACTTGTCATTTGGGCCTCCAGAAATGGTACAACGTTGAGCGACACATATCCATGTGGATAATTGCTGCCATAAATCACCACGACCGTGGTGTGTTTGGCAGCAGCTGTGCGGCCTCTGGGTGCATTGAGGCAGTGAAAATTGTTGAACTTCATCCCAGATCGCAGTGACTCTCAATCCTTCAGGCTCAGTGGCTCACATATCGAATGACTCCGGTGTGCCCATTACATTCTTGCAATGCTCTGAGTAGGAGGTCTATTTGACCAGGTAAAGTGACATGAGAGAGACTTAATGGGCGTACCTCATGCGGCTGATGTGATGCTCATTGAGTTCATACTGTGAGCGAATGTCAGGACCTCAGCCTTAGAAAGGACAGTGGCCCTCCTAGAGTGAGGCAGGTGCTTCCCTATTATATTGATGAATCTTGTCTTCAATGTGCAGCAAGCTGCACACCCATCATAAAGGAAAAAAACTTGTCTTCTCCTAAAAAATGGTGGTATTGAGAGTAGTTTGATGATATCATACAAGTGACTGAGTGACTGATCCAAAAATGCTGGTCTGGCCTGGGTTGAGGAATTCAGTGCCCTGCATCGTTACTAGTTCCATCGCGTGCATCGCGATCATTGAAGATGGGGATGCAGCCTTGTCTAGGAATAGGACGTAGATGCCGGTTTGGGAATGGGGCTTCGCCGACTCATTGTTCGCTAGCACTGAGTTTATTGTATTCCAACCAGGTGGATGATGTCACCATCTGCAAACGTGCCTTGCTTCAGCAAGCTGGTAGGCCTACATGTGCCATCCAAGCCTCATCCTTCCTTGACCTTGTTAACTCGCACATCAAGGGATGGTCTGACTTCGCTTGTCAAGTCTGGGTGCAAAAACGTGAGTTCAATTGGGGGAGGCTGGATCACGTACGAGTACGGTAGCTTTGGAGTCGATGTGTTGGAGGGGTCAAGCTTGATGGGAGCCCACTTCACTGCTGGGTTCTTATGCGAGAAATGGTAGTTTACGATCTGGTCATATAACTGGAACTCAGCAAGAGAGAAGTTGCCCTGTGCCTTGCTTATAAATCTGTTAACATCTTGGGTGGTGAAGACAATGAAACTGCCGTTGGCTGATAGGACCACCCATCCTCAGCATGGCGGGCACACCACACGCACCTATACATCCTCAAAATACGGTAACTTAAGACAATTTTCTCGCTCAAATTTAAGATTGTTTCTATGGGTATGTGTAGGGATATCAAACTTTGCAACATGTACCAGTACAGCTAATAATTGGAAAGGTTTTTCTATGGAATGACACACTGAGTTTGACCCAAATGACCTCGAGTAGTAAACTTGACCTCAAATCATTAAAGTAACATCAGAAGCAGATATTTCGACCTCAAAAACCCCTAAAGTTGTATTGTTTTAACTGCGAAGACCTCCAACCTGGGTGGCGGCCATATTGTTTTTTTTCTAACATGGTGGCCATATAGGGCACCCGTCTTGCCTCGAATCATTAAACTTACATCAGATTCAGATTCTGTTACCGAAAAAAAACATTTAAGGTGGTATTATTTATGATTTTAGCTTTTTAATTTTTTTAACTGTGATATGTGGCAAACATTTTGGATATTGCCAATATGGCCGTCCCTTGGGACATCTGTCTTGCCTCAAAACATTAAAATAACATCAGATTCAGATTGCTGGACCCCCAAAACACCTGAAAATTGGTATTATTTAAGATTCTAGCTCGTTTAGCTTGATTAACCTTTGACCTGGTTGGCGGTAACATTGGACTTTGCCAATTTGGCGGCCCTGTAGGGCATCCGTTTTGGCGCTTGTCCAAAATTTATGGTATGGACGACATGTGGGCTGAATGTGGTGCTTTTGTTAGAATCTGAACCAAAATATCCCTAACATGCCCGACTAAAAAAAATGTTGAAATTTGTACCTTATGTATTTTACATACGTGTACATGTGTAATTAATTAAGTAAAAACATGTTGTTCCTGTACATAGGGAAATGAGCTCTACTTTAAATCAGAAGTGAATAAATTCCAATTATCTTAAATGCAAGTATCAAAATGATCATGCCATCATTTCAACAAATTTCACTCCAGCCACATTTATTTTTGTCTGAGGAGTGCTTACAAAACAATTTTTTTTTAATGAACCATTTAAACTTTGACTCACTGTTACAGGGTTTCCTTTCAAGTCATTATCACAATAACCTCTTACTGAACAGTTGAGGGAAAAAAATCATACCTTGATTTGCAGACAGTTTGATGAGGAGCACACGAAATCCTGCAAGAGTAATAAAGATGGTTGCCAAGGCTACAGTGGTCAAAGTTTCCCAGCCGCCTGTCATTGCATTACGTATATCCTGCAGAAAAATCACAAACTGACATTATACTGTTTTGTCTAAGAAATGTTCTTGAGCAATGTCAAACCACAGATCTTGTTTGAGCATAAAGCCAGCAATGTCCTACTGTACATGTATTCTTTAGAAAGAACCTGTTCAGTGGTGGTTGCCAGACTGAAAGGCCTGTTGAAAGTCAACTTAGTTCCCATGGGTAAAAGTTTGCTGCACCAGATATTAAAAACTTAACTTTCAGTGCGGCACTTCTTAAGGCTGAACTACCGGTAAGCACCGTCGATATATCGATATTATCGATATTGGTTTGATATCGATATCGACGATGTTAGTTATGTGGTAATATCGATATATCGAAAAATATCGGATTTTGGAGAAATATTGAAAATATCGAAAATATCGAAACTTCCAAAACATCGATATTGAAAATATCCTATACCCAAGGTCCTTCCACTGTATCTCCCTCAGTCACTCTTCCTTACATAGGTCCAGCTTATCATCATCTGCAACGCATCCTCCGACAAGCTGGCGTCAAGGTGTACCACTCATCTGGCAACAAGCTCCAAGGCAGCCTCCATACTCACAAGGACAAGCAGGACTCCTCTTCCAAGGCGGGAGTCTACCGCATTCCATGTGAATGCGGCAAAGTCTACATCGGCGAAACCAGTCGGAACCTTCCCACTAGGCTCAAGGAACACAGAGCACATGGACGGCGAGGGGATTTTGACAAATCGGCCATTGTCAAACATTCCCACATCAACGACCACAAAGTTGATTGGGATGCGGCTGAACTCATCGTACCGATCCAGTTCTGGCATCCAAGACGCATACGGGAAGCCATCGAGATCCGCAAGCACAACACAGTTCCGCAAGACATCGGGTTTCACCTCAACGACATCTGGCTCCCACTTCTCCAGACTGATGGGTCTCCTATACCCTAGGTCCTCAGCTACCACCTTAGACTGATGGGTCTCCTATACCCTAGGTCCTCCCTCTACTGACACTGCAACCCTACTGTTCCACTTCAGTGGGCAATAAGCTTGTTCTAGGATCCTGTCTACTTGGCATCCTCCTGAAGACGGTCAGAGCATACTGACCGGAACGTCTAGTTTATACCTCTGGTTCTTTTCAGAACCATTCTCTTAGTTGAGAAATTATTCGCACATGGTGTTTCCGCAAACCTTTCATTATTTGTGAAAAACATATCGAAAATATCGCTACTGAGGAACGAACTTTATTAAAAAATACGAAAGTGCATCGTCACATTACCCTAATTTTGGATAAGCCACGGCTTACGTCGGTTCTCACACTGAGTGAAAAATGTCCCTGTAGCTTATATTCCAGGCGGCGTATACGGGGACATTTGAAGAATAAATTCAGTCACCTATCTCAGTCTCGCACTCAAAATTCGCGTACACTTTGCCTCGAAAATATCACCAAATTTATCCTCCAAAACAGAGAATTATTTGCTAACCAAACGTACGTACATGTAGACTAGCACCACGTGCTGATGATATCGCTATGCACGGCAGCGTGTATCCATCCCATGTAGGCAACCTACGTAATACGGACGCTAGAACATGTCGCCAAAGTGAATTGGATCACACCATTACGGTCTAGGGGTGTACCCTTAGAACAATTTACCAGCATTTCCACCATTTCGGAATTAAAATACCGAATCCCGGCGTCAGTTTTGTTTTTGATTGAGAATATATACGTTACGAAATGCCGAGCGGCAGAACTTTCTGTTGATATTTGCTGGAATTCACGGTCTCAAAGTAATGGAGTTGTGCTTTTGAAATCGTGAAGTTGTCAAATACATGTATTTTCCTGTTTTCTCATGTCAGTAATTTTTGGCTGTTGAAACTAAAGGCGGGTCAAGAAAAATACAGAGACTGGCATGGGAATTGCTTGGCCTAGATAATTTTCGGTGTTTGTCTTACTCGCTGCTTTTTCCCGGTGCCGTGATTGGTTGAAATAAAAGAAATCCAAAATTGGAATTAAAGAGTTAGAAAATTAATTAATGGTTTTTCTTTGAGTTGTTTGTTCGACATTTCCCCAACATTCTCATCAGCAAAACAAGGTGATAATAGTTGAACAATATAGAAACATGATCCTTTATTGTGAGGTTGGACTTCCCGAAAGACGAGAAATTTGGTTTACTTATATTTAGCAATTTGAAGAAGTTGCATCGTTTTGTATTTTCCCACACGCTCTCGCAGATTAAAATGAAGGTAGTGCCGCTTAGAAAATTGATATGGATGATGGCGTGGGAATTGATTTGCTTATATGTAGCGGTTTGAAGGAGTTCCGTTGTCTTGTATTTTCCCACGCTCTCGCCAGAAAAAAAATGCCCCATCAATCAGTAGCCCCTTTAAAATGCACTGTCACCATGGATATACAGTTGCCTAGCAACACCACGTCGGTAGGAAGTTTGTAGGCCCGCTTCATTGCCCTTCCCATACCAGTACTCAGAGCCCCTTGGTAATCAGTTGCAGTTAAATGTATTCTCCATTGACATCGGTCTGCAAACTCCACCCTTATTTGCATAATTATAAATATGCATTGGCTACTCTAAAAAAACATAATTCGTTGATAATATCTAAAATAACAATGATTGATTGAACATTTCAGACTTTATGTGTACAAAATTTAAGAAAGATAGTGCAGAACCACTATTTGACATCTGTTGCACTATCCTGGACATTTTGGTGCAAAAAATGAATTTCACTTTTTGTTATTGTGACTGGAAAGGTGTACTGTATGATATAGATTCCGAAACCACTCTAGCACAATTTAGCAGATGTCGTGAGATCTGTAAGTTAAGGGTCTGGTGTTGTCATTGACCACATCACCCGTCGTGTTTGGGGTTCACGACTTAATACGTCCCCACGCAGATTCGGTGTCAGCTATTTTTTTTAAGTGAGCGAAAAAGTAAATCCCGTGCACGTGCAATTCACGCCTGTTATAATAATTTGAAAATTAAAATGAATAAAATATCGATATATCGATAATATCGATAAAAAAACCCGATATATCAGTATCGGCCAAAATACGATATCGACGGTGCCTAGGCTGAACAAAAAAGTTCTGCTTCCGGTTACCCGACGTACCCTGATATGTGAGGTCCTAAGTGTGGTGCACTGTGAAACTGTGTGGTGCACTGTGAACCATCATGACCATATGTGTGTGCAGCGCCGTATGGCAGCTTTCACCACCAGTCTCTAGAAAAATCTCCATATTTTTCCTCAATGTTGGTATTTTTACCGGTCAGTTTCTACAAACGTGCCCAATTAGATCCATAGAGCACTATGAGGTCATCTGGATTCGACTACCAGCTACCAGTTGGAGGAATTTTAGGGTTGATGTTGGTATCCTGTTTGTACCAATACTCGAGTATACCTACATACACATCAGCCAGAGACACCAGTTCTCTATTGTCAGCTCATCCTTTTGTCTTGACATCTGTCATCCTATTGAAAGGCACGGATCTCCCCACTGTGAATCAGCCGGTCCAGTGCTTAACAATCATGAGGCATGATAATCTCCCCATCAAGACTACGCATCCGTCATCGACATTGGTTTTGCCACGTATTCAATATGCAGCCAGCTTTTTGCACGGATCGAGAACCAACTTCTCAAAATGTCCTCTTTCGGCTGAAAGCTGCCAGACTCTAGACTCCCTCAACCTTCTGCGTCAGCCATGCGAGACTCATCATTGTCAAGGTCAGATGTCTGCTAAGATCGGAAGACGAAAGCGATGGCGTCGTCGTGGAAAGCGAGGTGGAGTAAGTAGGCCCATAACTATCGATCACCGCAACCTCAGATATCTTGTTGGTTCGGCCCCACTAACTCAACAACAGAAATGTCAAAATACAAGGATTGACAGTAAAACACACCCCAGGAGAAATCCTCCGAACCTCATTCCACTGACAAGAGCCAAACCCCATACCAATCTGAATGTTCATACCTGGAATGCCAGCTCACTGCGCAATAAGACTGATATACTAGTTGATTATATCTTAGAGAACGATGTTGACATCATGTTCCTAACTGAAACTTGGCTTGCTGACAACAACACAGTCATTATTGGGGAATGTACTCCTCCAGGTTATGATTTCCTTCGCGTGCCCCGTGGAAAATCAAATTGTGGCGGCGGCATTGGTGTTCTTTTCAAAAGGCACTCAATCTGCTCATTACTCATACCAGCCTTGAAACCCCGAACTTTGAACACACTTGCATTACAAACAAGAGAAACTCCATTCAGTTTGTAGTCATCTATCGCCCTCCACCATCCCCTGCCAATGGCTTCAAGACTTCAGACTTCTTGGTAGAGTTTCAGAAATTCCTTGATGAACTTTCCATCCTCCCATGTCAGTTAGTGCTATTGGGAGACTTCAATTTGCATGTTGATAATCCGGATAAATGGGATGCAAAGCAATTTCTCTTGACTCTCCCTGCCTATGGTTTTCACCAACACATTACTGGTCCCACTCACAAATATGGCCATACTCTTGATTTATTGATCTCTCACTTCGATGACGACATAGTTCAAGAATGGCACACAAATCCAGTTCTGTACTCTGACCACCACATTATCAAGTGCATCTTAAGGTACATGAGACACCACCTCCCATGAAAGTAACAAAAACGTCTCGTGAATATGAACAGATCAACTTAGAGTTGTTCCAGAATCTTCTTGATGAGCGCCTCAAAGATACTGCGCAGACTGAAGATGATCCCAATCTTCTGTCTGAAACATACGAGTCCATCACAACATCTGTGCTTGATGAGATCTGCCCTGTCACAACCAGAGTTCGCACAGTCAAGTCCAGGCTACCGTGGTACGACAACACCATCCATGAAGAAAGACGAATCTGTAGACGGCTTGAGCGCAAATGGCGCAAAAGTCGTTTGGACACAGACTATGACGCGTTTCTAACTCAAAAGAATAATGTACAGCAGCTGATTGCTAGTGCCAAGAAAGCATACTACTCTGACAAATTCTGCAATGCCAGTTCCAAGGACATGTACACCACAATACGGGGTCTTCTGAACACCTGTCCTAAGACATTGCCAGTTTGTGACTCTGAAACTGAACTTGCAGATAGTTTTATGTCCTTCTTCAATGATAAAGTCGAGCAAATTAGGCCAAAGGTTGTACCTGAAACTTCACTATGTTCTGATACCGTTGTATGCGAGTCTCAGCTAGATCCTTGCATTAATCTACCCAATTTTAAGATGCTCAACAGACCCGACATTGAGAAACTCATTAGGCAATTCCCAAGCAAGTCCTGTTCACTAGACACGTTACCATCTTGGCTTGTAAAAAAATGCTTGCCTAGTTTGTTACCAATCATAACAAGAATTGTTAACGCCTCACTTGCATCTGGTGTTTTCCCTGAAACATTCAAACGGTCTATCATCAAACCAGGCAACTTGCAAGGGCACCAGACAAAAAGAATGATTCTGTGAAGGCCCGAGGCATAGACGGAAGAGTAAGGCAGTACTCCTTGGTCTATTGTACTAATAATCAACAAACCATCTCAACAGGCTGATGAATATAAACAGGCCAGCTGAGCAAGTTATTCAAGGGATAGATTATGAAGGAATCTGTAGAAGGAACGCTCATTCACAACATTCCCCAACACAATCGTATCTATAGGGAAGAAGCAGGGAAAGAATGCGGCATCCAGACACCAGTAAACGTTCGAGAACAAATCTATGGAGAGTCAAGACTTTTTTTTATCAATCTTGTAATGATA